GAAAGTCTCAGGCGCATTGTGTTTCTCTGGGCTTTGTCAGTTTTTCCATGTCTAAAACAATAAAGTGCATTCTCCTTGCCATGATCCACTCGAAGGGAGCGCTCGCAGGAAACCCAGCGGTGTCGCGAATCCAGAGTTTCATGTCTATGCTGAGGGGTTTCTGACCCTCCTGGCTTTTTGAGCCATGTTTTCAAAAAGTGTTCTTGGAGTACTTACTCTTTGTTCTGACCCAAGGGTACAGCAGTGAACACAAGAGGCAAAAGTCCCTGACTTCAGGAGCATATTTATTTTTTATTTTTCTCTATTGGTTTTTTAAAAAAACTTAAAAAATACATATTTTAAAGACTATAGAATGCCACATGGTGATAGGGGTTATGGGAAAATGGGACTCCGGGGAAAATGAAATCAAGGAAAGGGGACAGCTGTTACAGTGGAGAGGGGGCGTGTATTGTGTCCGTTTGGGGGTCTCAAGGTAGCCATTCTCATAGTCAGAAATTACCCTGGAAAACGCCGTAAATTTTCTTGTAAAGTGTTCATGGGTTTGTACAGTGACCTCTCTCCTCTTTTCCATGCCTACTAAATTCAGAGAACGATCACTCATAGGCAGACACCTAAACCTTCATGCCATTTTTTTTTTGAAAGTGTCCCCGCTCCCCTGCAGGCTTGACTCCATTCCGATCGATGCCTCTGTTCCCTTAATGAGGAGTCCTGGTGATGTGCTGATTAAGTGCTTGACGGCTAACCTAAAGGTCAGTGGTTTGCACCCACCAACCACCCCCAGGAGAAAGGTGAGGCGTCTGCTTCCGTGAAGAAGGGCAGCCTGATGGGGTGGTTTCACACTGCCCTTCAGGGCAGTTATGAGTTGACAGCCATGTGTACAGAACCTTTAATGCATGCGGATAGATCTGCTGGTTATTATAAGCGTGAACTTAGACCAGGTGCGACACAAGTCAGGCTGACAGATAGAAGGGACTTGGCATCCAACGGTTTTTACAGTTATCTTGCTCATTGAAACATCACAAAGGAAAACTCGGCCACCTCCGTCCGGTCTTTCCAAGGTGGCATTTCCTCTTGTGGCTGCACTGGCCAGCTGCTGTGCTTGTGCCCTTGGAAAGCTGCTCTCCTGGGCCCTTTTGTAAAACCACATCCTTCTTGGAGGTCTGGGTTCTAAAGTGAAAAGTGCTGGTCCTCGAGATTTCTAAAGCATTGGCCTGTTCCAAGCAGGCTGTGTAGAACGGCAGTGCTTTGAATTTCCTGAGAAGTCACGTGGGGAGAGCTGCAGAGCCTCTCTTTCATCAGGTCTGATCATCATGGCCATGGACAACTTGTCCAGCATGTCTCATGGGTAAGAGTGTTCACACTGAATCTGGACCTGCTCTTGTCACCATGTGACCTTGTACAGGTTCCCCGACCTCTGAGTGTGTCACTTTCCTCATCCGTGAAGGAGACTAACATTACTTCCTTCATAAGGCTGATAAAGCAAACCCAAGCTGTCACCTCCTATCATCCGTTGATTGCAACTCCTAGTGACCTTACAGGACAAAGCACGCTGCCTTGTGGGTTGCTGAGGCTATTAAATCCTTAGGCGAACAGAAAGCCTCATCTTTATTCTGAGGAGCTACTGGTGGATTCCAACCACTGCCCTTGTAGTTAAAAGCCCAATGAATAACCCACTCCACTACCAAGGCTCCTTTCACAAGGAGATGATGAGGATTCAATACGTTGGGATATGTTCGGCAGAGGGTGTCATACAGTGAGCTGCTAATTCCTTACAGAAAGCCTGGCAATTTTTGACTTAAGAGATAAAATAACACTGCTCTCTTTAATGTCCAGAACTTCTGAGTGCTTCATGCAGATGTTGATTTCAGGCAGAATTGGACTGCACAGAACTTCTCATTTCAAAAAGGTTCCTGTTGACCTGGTTGTGATGTAGTTTAGTGATGCCTAGTCAGTGTGTGCAGGGCTCCACCTTGATCCTTTTTTACGCCTTCTTTGCTTTATAGCACAGTTCTTGGTTTGGATATGACCCCCCCCCCCCCTTTTTAACAATTATAAAGAGGAATTTGTTTTCTTTTTTTCCCCAACAGTTTTTTTGGCACACAATTTACATATCATACAATTGAATAGTTCAATCGTTTAATCTTTTTTTTTTTTTTAGGATGCCCTCTGAGTAGAGAGCTCAAAAAATTGCGTATCTCTTTTCCTGAAAGTGCCTGCTAAAAAGGAGAGCATTTACACAGCCAAAAATCTGGGAGCATTCGTTCAATCATATCAAGGGGAATTATACAATCAGCACCACTTATCTTAGAGCATTACACCCCCCACCCCCGTTACATTGACTTTAAAATGAGTTGTGCAATCACAATCTGTTCTAGTACACCTTCCCCCTCCCACCTTCAGTATTTACTCCCGAAATCTTCTTTCCCTCCTTATTGCCCATGCCCCACCCCTGCATTCCCTGTAACATCTTATATCAGTTATTGTCATCATACCTCCACTCCTCCTGTGCTTCACAGCTGGGAAACCCAAGAGAAGACAATGAAGAACAAATTGCACTAAGGTGGTAAGGATAAGAACATATTAGCAAAAGACAAAAGTACAAATAATGCGTGAGAGGGACCGAAACTACCTCCCTTCTTCCTGTAAACTTACAAAGATAGACTACCCCTACCCCATTCATGGACCTGCTTATTTTAAAATGGAGATTTGTAGGAGAGCTTATTTCTATCCTGAAAGATGACCCAAGGTTGAGAAAATGGATAGGTTTTTAAAAAGTTACCATATATACTGAAATATAAGCCAACCCGAATATCAGCCAAGGCACTTAATTTTACCACAAAAATTGCATTAAAATGTACTGAAAAACTCAGCATATACATAGTATTCTAAAAATCATTAGTTTTCTGAACACATTGAATGCTGTGATTCGTTACATAATTGGTGCCCACACTCAGACATACTCAGAGGTAATTCTGGTGTTCGAAGCGATAGGGACTGGACTCAGCTAGTGACATGGGGTGTCTGCAGCAGGCCCTGTGGGTAGAAAGGAGGCCGTGCGGATACAGGGTGGGTCTGAGTGCCACACTGCCCCTCGGAGCCTCCCCAGCTGCAGCAATTCCTCCTTAAAAGTGAGAGACTTGATGTAGGCTGCGAGGGAACATTTCTACAATAGCTCATATTTTAGCCTGGGCAGTGTCTCATATGGCACCTACTGTTGCTCTGTGATAACTAGCCATGGTGGCGTAGCCATGACACGCTGGGCTGCTAACCGTAAGATCTATAGTTCAAAACCACCAGTTGCTCCAAGGGAGAAAGATGAGGCTTTCTATTCCTGTAAAGAGTTACAACCTTGGAAACCCAGAGGGGAAGTTCTACCTTGTCCTGTGATTGACAATCGACTCAATGGCAGGGAGTTTGAGGCCACTCCACCACTACCACTACCATGTGCTTGGCTGCTAAGCGGAAGGCTGGAGTCCACCAAAGCAACCTGGGAAGAAAGCCGTGGCAAACCACACACCCACACAAAGCAGCCCTGAAGCCCCTGAAGAGCACAGTTGTGCCCTGACCCTCTTGAGCCACTGAGTAGCCCTGTCTGTGATGCTGAACAGTGCCTGGTTCCGCGACAGCACACACGGTAACTCGCTGGGTGAAGGTTCGTTTTCTTGCGGTCTCCTTGGAACCAGGGCTGGAGAATCACTGCCCTGTGCTGTTGTGTATCCTTTAGTCTCTCCTTTATTATTTCACATCTGTTCATCTTGCCCTTTCAAGTAGCCGGTTCCTTGAGGAGGGTGAGGCTCTGCCTTATATTTTTACTACAATCCCCAAAGTACCTCCCAAACCAAACTCACAGCCACGTTGACTCATTGTGATCCTGTAGGGCAGGGTAGAACTGCCCAGTTAGTTTCTGAGACTATAACTCTGATTGGGAGTAGATAGCCCTATCTTTCTCCAGAAGAGTACTGGGTGGATTCAAACTACTGACCTTGAGGTTAGCAGCCCAATGTGTAACCACTATGCCACTGGGCACAATGCAGATAACCTGCTCATCTGCTGGTGAATTTTAATATTAATATTAAAGTGAATTTAATAGCAGCCTTTACCATCGCACATGACACTATTTGATGTACTTGTCTTCCTCCTGTAACTGGGTTAAGTTTTACAAACTCAAAAACGTACTGCCTTCTAGTTGATTCCAACTCCGTGACCTTAGAGGACAGGGTAGACCTGCTGCCCCTGTGGGTTGCCAAGACTAACTTAACGGGAAGAGAAAGCCTCATCTTTCCCCAGTGGAGCAGTTGGTCGTTTTGAACTGCTGACGGTTGCCGTTCCAAGCCCAGCTCGTAACCAGTGTGCCATCAGGGCACCTTTAAGTTTTACGAGCTCTGGAATTCCTGCTGCAGAGCCAGGAGGAACCTTACAACACCTGCCCCCCCCCACCCTCCCATCCCCCCACTGCTATGGGGCCGCTGGTTTCCTGTGGCCACAGGAACCTCCTCCCTGCTTGCTCTTCCCTGCTGTGATCATCAGCCAGACATTTAGGGTTTAGCCATAACACAAATGAAAGCATTTAGCAATTTTTATAATTTTAGAATGCCTTAGCTTTCTGTGAGTGTCAGGTTTTTAAGTAATGATCAATCGATTTCTCTTAAAACACGCTCCCCCGCCCCTTTTTTCACATGGATTCTGCCCACGCCGTGTGGACAAGACACAATAAGGCCTGTTTCTCTGCGCGAGGCACGCCGTGCATTGTACAATCTGGGGTTTGTTTTCCTCTGGCTGGCGATTGGGAGCCTCCCATTTCCCGAGTAGTAGCACGCCCCGGGGCCGGCCCTCTCTGTCATGCCTTCCCACCACGCCAGGCCCTGAGGCCGGACAGGCTTCCAGGCGGGGCCCAGCCAGCGGGCTGACCACTTGTGCCTGCGAGGCCAGCTTCCTTTCCTCCCACGGGCCACTGGCATGCATGCGTCTGCCTCGCGCGGCCAGGGGTTCCCAGCTGTCCCCATTGCCGGCGCCCTGACTTGCTCTCCCAGCCGAGAATGCAGGCTGAGAAATGCAGAACAAGCAGCAGAAACGCCAAGAAAGAGCTTGTGATCGAGTCTCCGCTGCAGCACAAGGATGCGGCGCAGGCAGACGCAGAGGTGGAGAGCCCGGGGCCAGTGCTGGTAAGGGGCTCTTGCCTGGAGCATCACGCTTACCTGCCGTGTGTGGTGGTGAAACTGGCTCCCCTGCGTTGCTCTGAACGCCCGCCTCTGTCCCTGGGATCTGACTTCTCTTCTTCTTCAAAGACATGTTGCTGGGTTGTTGGTGAACGCGGCTCCCAGGAGGCTTTATCAGGAACAGTTGTGTATTGTTCAAGAGCATGTCCCATCTAGCTGTGGAGGTTCAACGCATGACTCAGGGTGGCACATTTTGGCTGCCTTCCTAGGTTGAAAAGAGATCTACTTGGCCAAAATTAGAAAGAAAGAAAGGTTTGATATTCTGTATTTCTACTCTTCGAGACAATTAGGAAAGACATTTGGGGGCGGGGTGGTCTGTACTGTTGGAATCAGGCTCAATATGTCCCTTGTCACGCCGTTTTAGCACAGGTGTGACTTTGAACCAAGTAAGAAAGAGCCCCAGCTTGGGACCGACCTGTAGGGAGATTTCTTTTCTGCGCACCTGATTGAACGCTTAGCTGTTTGGGGAGTCAAGTGCTTCCGTGGTCCCTCAGAGGCAGGAATGTGAAAAATGGTTGTGTTGTTATCAATGAGTAGGTTGTGCATCTATTTTGGAATTTCTTCAGGACAATGGGAGCACATAATTTTTTAAGCAAGCCGCAGAAACCACCAACATGCCTAGGAGACAATGGGGCCTTTCAGATGATCTGCTGAAGCGATTGTCAAACTGTGCTTTGTGACTTTAGCATGTGGGTTCAGTGGTTATCATAGAGGGTTTGGATGCTAATTTAATTGTCTTCAAGGATCAGAACTTTAAATGTCCTTAATGACGGGCTTGATTCATGTTGGATTGCTGCCCTTGGTGACACATGTGGTTTACATTGGATTAGCTTGCAAATTATGTATATTCCTAACCCTAAACTGGGGAGTCAGTAAAACACGTTTTCCCTTTCACTCTCTGGAATCTCTTGCTTAGAGATGGTATTCATTATCTTGGATTCTTTTTGGCTAGTCTAAAGCTTGTTTATCTGTTGAGTAGCTTGGACAACTTAACCAGTTAACTCGCTCAGCTGACGTACGGAGCTTATGATCGCTGAGAGGAAGCCGTGTGGTTTGGGCCTCCCTAGTGAATATTCCAAAAAGTCTTTTGCCAGCAATTCTCCAGATGTGGAGGAATATTTGTCCGGAGGATTAAGAACGCTGTAAAAATGAGCAGCGTAATTTTCAGTTTAAAGTCACACAAATGACTTTTAAACATGTAGCTCTCTTCCTTCCCATGCTAAAAAAAAAAAATTAGACTGCTCATGTTATTTGTTTCGGTCGAATCTGACTACCTCCAGCTTCTTGGGCAGCTGTTTTCCCGCTGTAATCAGTGAGGCGGGCCTGCTGCCCCTGCAGCTGACAGGAGGTCTGGGGAGAAGTCTCTGGCCCCCTGCACCTGCCCAGGGAGGTGGGAGGGAGCGATGAAGGCTGTTTCTTGTCTTCTAGTGAGGCAGTACTTCCCTTCTCTCTGAGGGGGTGAGTGAGATACAAGACCTAGTAGCAGATTAGAGACTCAAGGTCACATACACAGGGCCTTCAAGTGGCAGATCCCTTTAGCATGGCTAATTGCGCAGAACATAACTTGTCTCTCAGGGTGTTTTTTGTTTTGTTTTTAAAGTAGGCATACACAACCGTGAGAGCTGATTGTTTAGTGATGTTTAGTATTGTAACGTCCCTGAACCCAAGAGTTGGTAAGACTCCCCCTCCAAAATCCAAGCCTACTACCATGGAGTCAGTTCTGACTCCATGTCCCTGAAGGTCAGTGGAGAACTGTCCGGTAGGGTTTCCAAGGTGTGTCCATCTTTATAAGAATCCTGGTAGTGCCGTTGGTTACGGTTGGTCCGCTAACCAGAAAAACAGGAGTTTGCGACCACCAGCCGCTCTGCAGGAAAAGCGGGAGCTTTTGACTCCCATAAAGATTAGCAATCTTGGAAACACGGGGGCCATTCTTACCTGTACTGGATAGAGTCGCTATGCGTCAGAATTGACTCCTGCCAGTGAGACAGTCTTTACAGAATCAGGCTGCCTCATCGTTCTCCCTTGGAGCGGCTGGCAGGTTTGAACCAGAGACTTCTCAGTTAGCAGCCCAACACTCAACCCATTACTCCTTCAGAATCCCCTAAATCTATAGATCATATACGTAAAGTTAAGTGTGTGGAGAGATGTTTAAACATAGGTAATGTGCTTCATCCAAGAGGTGGCACTTTGAAATGAAGTTTTACTAGTTTTACTTATACATTCAAAGTCTTTGGGCAAAGTCTTACACAGTGTATAAAACATGAAAGTAATTGCTGAATATAATGAGAAAAACAGGCAGTATTTCTTACTGCAACAAGAAACAAAGAAATGGAGGGAAAGCACTCTTATCCTTATGTGCCTCCACTGGTAATGTGATGTATCATTTATTTGCAGACATGTTCCTGTGTATCCCAAAGCAAAATGTGTGTGTGTGTGTGCGTGCGCTTGTGTGCACACTCTGAGGGGCCCTCGTGGCATAGTGCTTACATGTTGGGCTGCGATCCACATAGTTGGCACTTTGAAACCACCAGCCACTCCTCAGGAGAAGGACTGGGCTTTCCACTCCGGTGAACAGCTGCAGTCTCAGAAACCCACGGGGGTCGCTCGATGGCAGTGACTGGTAGTTTTTTGTTTGGTATGCTTCTTCCAAATGCACCTTCTCACTGCCGGCTCGTCGGTCTCACTCCCAGCCACTGTTCAGGGTGCAGTCGGGTTGCTGCTGTGGATTTCTGAGACGTTAGCTCTCTATGGGGTTAGGAAGTATCATCCTTCGCCCCAGGGTGCCAGGTGGTTTCGAACTGCTGACCTGGGAGTGAGCGGCCCAACGAGTACCTCACTCTGCCACCAGAGTTCCGGGTCAATGTGCTAGAACCATACATTTCTGCAAGCTGATTTTCTCTCAAAATACACTCAAAACTGCCTTCTTTGTCACCACATATAAATTCATGTCATTAATTTTAATGGTTGTACAATGTTCCACCATGGGACAGCAGCACAATTTCATGACTTTCTCTCTCTCCCCCCCCCCCCCCCCAGCTCTTTGCTACTAGGAGCATTGCCACTGGGAATGTGTTGGCAAACAGGATCTTAAAACATGTATATCAAAATTAGTATGTTTTCTATAAAACTACAGTGGTTTCCTCTCGCCAGGTTATGTGAAACTAATATGCTCCTCTGCCAGTATGAGAGTTGAGGTTCCTCGTAGCAGTGGCCCCTTGTCCAGTGCTGAAGCCACCCAGTGTTTCTGAGAGATGTGTGTGGCGCACAGCATCAGTGTGTCCTAGGTGCCAGGCTCAATGTCTAGGCTCAATGTCTAGGCACTACAGAACCGAACTCCAAACTCCCTGTCCTAGAGTCGATTCGGACTCACAGCAGGCCTATAGCACAGGG